GATTTTCCCTTACACCATTCCATCATTCTGCTAGCAGAGAATATCATTAATGATGGGTAAAAGTTGAGAAACCAAAACTTTTATCAGTTAGAAAAACATTTTTTCAAAAGGGAAAAGCCCCAACTTCTGGGATATTTAGTCTCTTGACTCTTGTTTTTTTACGTCACAATTGAAAATAGTTTTAAGTCAGTATTGATCATGCATTTGGCCTCGTAGAACAGTAAGAAAACCTTGACAAAGTGATTCTGCTTTGACCTTGAGGTGGCATGCAGAAAAAGAAGTGGAATGTGGATATACCATCTTCCAGACTGGATCTGCCAGTGACTGCGATTGCCCTAAACAGATCTTTTAATATTTTTGAATCTCAATTCTCACATCTGTTAATGAGCGTGTTTGCCAGATGGCTTCTAAGAACTCTTCCAATATCAACATTCTGTGTTGCTACAGTTGGTCTTAATCTCAAAGGATGGACACATAGACACACATGGGCTTTATTTTTAGGATTACTTTATTGAAGGAGAGAGCAGCATATTGTATTATTAGCTTCTTTCTTAATTTCTAAAAGCTGACATTTCAAATATCATCATTGTGGTTTTTTTACTACAACAGTGAAATTTTACATGTTAGGGTTCTGATTTGGTTATTAAGAAAACTTTTATGAGGTTCTTAGTCAGCCGTGTTTGTTGGTGTTATACATATGCAAACCTCTTAATGTAAAGCAAGTCATGTTTTATGAGCGGGAATCCTTAAAGAGTGGGCATTGAAATGACTGTGCATTGTCCATGTGTAAGAACATATATACTAGTTTATCTAATTTCAGTTGTTGTTCATAATAAACAACAAAAAGTTTAGTATAATCCACACTTTTGTTGGTGATATAAGTGAGTGCAGAAGTAGTAAGGAAGTAATTTTCATTTAACGAAGCATAGTCATAAACTTGGTATTCAAAAATTAGGACATTTTTCCTCTAAATAATTTTTATTTTGAGCCTGAAGGAAAAAATAAACCTTAGCCATTTGAAGGTTCTCTAATTTATGGGGCTTTCCATATTGCTAAGGCACAATAACCTCTAATCTTCCATTTTATCCGACATTTGCTGAGACTCATTCTCCTTTCTAATCCTTAGCTTGTGCAAGTTGCTGCTGAATCAACATTTATTCCTATCCATTCCCATCAAAAGAGACCTATCTCAGCTATGTCAAGGCCCCTTTTGGCAGATAGGAGTCATGTTCCTGTATCACATGCAGGCACAGGAAATTCTGTGGACTCCTGTGGGTCCATCTGAGGAAACACAGAGCCCAGCCAATCTACCCTGACATCTCCTTATTTCCCTACATTCTAGGTTTCCCCAAGTCTATATAAGGTCTCTGCCACTGTCGTTTATCCTATTGAGTTTGGTTCGGAGGAAATGAAGCCTGGGAGAGTGCATATGCCAGATCCTTCCTGATCTTCATAGGGCCTAGACTTTTTGTCATTAAAAGCCACTGAGTGCTTCTACTGTACATCACTTCAATGAGGAGAAAAGTATAGAATCAAAGCTAACTGCAGAGTTGGACAAAATAGAAAATACCAGAGATAGAAAAAGGAAAAGAAAAAACATACAGGTTGATATTTCAAAAGTATTATCCCACCACACAATGAGTAACTCTCTATAAATGGAATCCATTTCCATGGCAGTGGTGAATTCCCTTGTTAAGGAAGCAGAGGCTGAAACTAGTCAGTGAACACTTAAGGAGGATTTCTGCATTGCCTGAGTAGTTAGTCATGATAAACTTTTAGGTCCCTTCTGGCTTTCAAATAATAAAAATATTATTTGAAAGATCTTTTTCTTTCCTGGAATGTCCTGACAGTTCTCTGGCCTCTTGTGATGAGCTAATTGTCTCTCTCCCCACTTCTCCCCGAATTTGTATGTTGAATAGTACCTTACTTAGAATGTAATTGCACTTGGAGATAGGGTCTGATATAACTAGTGTCCTTATAAGAAAGGAAAATTGGGGCACACAGAGGCACCAGGGATGCGTGTGAGCACAGAGGAAGGGCTATGTGAGGACAGAGCGAGAAGGCAGCTGCCTGCAAGCCAAAGAGAGAGGCCTCAGAAGGAACCATACATGCTGACACCTTGATCTTGGACTTTTAGCCTCTAGAACTGTGAGAAAATAAATTTATATTGTTTAAAATACATCCATGGTGGCATTTTGTTTTGGCAGCACTAGCAAACTAAGGACACCTCTGCAGGGTGGTCACATAAAATTTCTCAGTTTGAGGCCTTGTATACCATACCCCTCCCCCTCCCAGGAAAGGGTCTTGTCAGAGTAGATGTTCAATGCTACTTTTGAGTATGTTTTACAATTAGTGGAAATAACCATTTTCAATATATGCTTGGGATTTTACTGCTTCTATAAAACTTATTTCTACCTTTTATAGTTCGTTAGAAAATAGAACTCTACCAAGACCCTAGGTTAAGTGAATCTGACATTATAACAAATAAAATATTGATTGAAATGTCCTACTAATTAAGACTGAATATACCAGAACACTTTGTCTGAAGTAAATCTATAATAATAACATTTTGAAAAAGTTTAACTGTTTCAAAATTGCTTGCTATAGATTTTTTTCTAAGGAAGTACAATATGAAGACTTAGAAAGTATTATCTATAGTGATTGTTTACATGCATAGTAGGAACCTGGTTAGTTAACACCAAGAGAAACATGGAATATATTCAAACAGCTCACTCTTCTAACACCTTATCCCAAGAGATTGGTACTCTGGGTTAGTTTCTTTTCCATTAAATGGAATTTTTCTCTTATAATCTCCAATCCAAGGATGTAATATTGAGGACACTTGGCCTATCTTCTGAGGAAAAAGAGTAAGACTAATTGCATTAAAGTAGAGAGTTTAAGAGGGAAAGGAAATTTTTTTTTCAATGGAAAGAAGCAGAAAAAGAAAAAGGAAAGGAATAAGGATGGAGGGAGAAAGAGTAAAAGAGAAAGCAAGAGGACAACTAGTTTATTCAGGTAAAGACTGAAGACCTTAGATTGTGCTTTTTAGGCCACTCTCCCTGTTTTAATGAGTGGGGGGAGGGGCTGAAGCACCCGATCCATGGGCACACCCGAGTATGAAGCATTAGTTTGCCATGGAACCAGGGGCTAGACTATTCCTCGCTGAATGCCACATCTTATCCAATATGGCGCTTCACATGTGAGGGTGATGGGCACACTCCCAGATCCCTGTTCCTCGGCATCCCACCATACTCTCCCAATGGATATGTTGGTGTGGGATTCCTTGTCCCCTGAGTCTAGTTCTCAGATTTCTTCTCTTCATCCCCCTGTACCCCTCAAGTCAAGGGGGCCCTGAGACTGGCTTGCTTATCTCAGCCACCAGCATGCGATGCTGTGAAATGTTGGCAGGCAGGGAGTTTCCAAACTGTGCACCCCTGTTCTACCCCAAGTCCTCAAGAGAAGAGGTATGGGCCTAACCTTCTGTGGAGACTTCAACCGGGAGTGTGTGCCTGCTGGTGATCTCGTGGCATTCTCCTGGGGGGAGCCCCTCATGTACTGCCCAAACTCAGGGGACACAATAGTTCACCCCACTAATCCTTATTTGCTGCTGTGCCTGGGCTTGTGGAGGGTGGAAAAGCTTAGAAGATAGTTTACCAGGGAGAGGGAGAGAATGGGGAGAGATAGGTAAAAGATCAAAGGGTACAAAGTTGCAATTATGTAGGATGAATAAGTATAGAGATCTAATGTACATCATGAAAACTATAGTTAATAATACTGTATTTTATACTGGAAATTTGCAAAGAGAATAGATTTTAGGTGCTCTTAAGACAGCAGACATACACACAGGAGAGTAATTATGTGAGATGATGGATATGTTAATTTGGCTATAGTAACCATTTTATTACATATATCAAAACATTATGTTGTATACCTTAAATATATATAATAAAATATTTTTTAAAATCCACCTCTCACCCCCACAAATCAACAGCAAAAACAGTATGAGTTCATACTCGCTGACATCCTCCTTACCATTTGAACATTCAACCCCAAATACAATTCTTATTTTGAATGTAAAGTAACATATTCTAGGACTTTTTACATGTAGTATATCTATTTCATCATAGTTCATCAATGTGGTTTTGTAGGTCATTTCATAGACTGTCAAACTTAAATTTATCAGCTTTCTGAATGATCTCCAGGAGACAGTGTTCATGGTTTCCATGCCAGAAGTTACTCAGTCTAGTGTGTTATACTCAAATATTGTTTAACTTGCTCCTGACATGATGATTACCTTCAGCCTAGCCTGACAACCTAGGTGACTCAATCTTCACTTACTGCTGCTTCTCCAGCATTGCTGAGGAAAATAGTTTCCATTGTAGGACACTAAGGTATGGGTCTTAGTTTAACAGGGATTTAGAATAGAGGTAGCTTGGAATATTATTCCACTCTGACACAAAATTCAAGCCTATAATCTTAGCTTGATCCCTCCTGTGTTGTTCAAAGTGCTTTAGAAGAGTGGCTGTTGCTTTCAAATGAGTTTTGGAATATGTTTTTATCATGACCCTGTTAGATTTCCCTTTAGGCCACAATAGAGAAACATCTATATGATTTGCACCTGAGATTCATATCTGCTGATTAAAAGAAATAGCCATCTACTAAAGCTTTTACTTTTCTGTTATAATCAGTATATACCGCCTGCTTTATAGTATATTCTCCAGTAATTTAAAATATTTTTTCTTTGATTTTTTTTTTTAAGCTTAAGAGAAATATTTGGAATCAGTCCAATTTTCTTTGCCTTCAAATCCTTCTGAATACACTCTTCTTCTGGCTTGATTAATTCCTACTTTTTTCTTTTTTTTCATCTTCCATTTTCATTAAAAGGCCATGTAGCATGGTGTTAAGAGGCCCTGGAGTCAGGCTGCTGGTATTCAAATGGTTGCTTTGCCAGCTACTAACTGTGTAACTCTCACCATGATACTGACTGGCTTTGGCTTTAGTTCTTTGTTCTGTAAAATGAACACAAATGAAAATGCCTACCCCAAATGTTGTTGGAAAGCCCTTTGACTAGGGCCTGGTTGAGAGTAAACATGAATAAATAATGTTGGGGAAGAGAATAACTCAATTTTATTTATTAGCAGACAATCTTAGAACTATCAGCAAGAAATATAGATTTTAGAGTATAATGTGTGTAATTTTTGTATATGTCTGTGTCTGTCTATATACATAAAAAAATACAAAGTATAAAATGTATATTTTTCCACTACTCAGGCCAGTCAATTTTTATTTAATTTGAGAACAAATGAAATTTTAAAAAATGATCCAACAGAATAATAATACTTTTATTAGTGTCCTCATCTGTTGATACTCTCAGATATCAGTACATTGCTTGAAGCATAAATCTTGATGAATTTCTTGGCTGTTTTTCTTCATCTCTAGTGCTTTTTCTTTTTAGCTAACATAATCAGGAATTTAATGTAATGGCCCTGTATCTAAGTTTCTGTCTCCCACATTTTGTCTCTCAGTAATATCGGCTTTAGGGCCTGATATCAATACACATCTATTTGTTAGTTCAGGATTTCATTTTGTCATAAGATTTTACATCTTAGGTGAACTATTTTTTGCTGTTTCTGGACAATTTCTTCTATTACTTCAGTATAATATTATCTTCTGAGTGTGATACACTTGTGCTACTGATGAGAATTGAGATTCTTAAGCAAGAATCTGCCCACTCTACCACCATATGAAATGCTACTTAACATTTTTTGTAATCAGTGTCACAGGTATTTCAGATTTTACTTTTGATATCACCTGCAGGTATTTTAGGTAAGTAATAGATTGAAGGGATAAGAACAAATACATTGTAAGGTTGAATTAAATTCCTGGCTAAATTTTCCAAGAATGTAAAGTCTCATCAGAAGTGGAACAGCCATGTGAACAGGAGCAGATGCATCATTTCTCAGAATAACTGCTTGTGGCACTTGCTGAGAAAATACTTCACCAGATAAGGAAAGCTCAATACTTGCTAGGTCACTTCTCTTTTTTGCAGGGGACTTACATCTGGAAGATTTTACATTAAGAACATGTGTGTATCTGTTTAAGGGACTGTTTATATATATTGAGTTCTGGTTCTTAAACTATCATTAAGACCTCATTATGGATGGGTAAAAAGCAGCTGAGCTGGTTTCCATATATCTCCGAAAGAAAATATTTCTGTCTGCAGATTTTTCAAATTCAGAAGATCCTTATCCTTAGAATGGCAGTCAAAATAGACACTTGAAACCCAACAATGCCTTATATTCTAAAAAATAAATGGTTTAGGGAGGTAAAAACATTGTTTTGAATGAACAATTGGCCTAAGTCAATGTACGAATGCTTACAATATGATTGGAACCAAAGATGATATGTTAGCAGAGTTGATACATTACACTTCCCTTGTGCAATTTGAATTTATTGTTCACAATATTCATTCACAAATCCTCGAAAGTTGCTTCAAAGAGATAGTCTCAGGACAATGTCTTTTCATATACTGGGAAAAAAACTTTTTTAAAAAAGTTTAATGTGTTTTAATTTATACCCATATTAAAATTCATAGAGGCTAGGCATGATGGCTCACACCTGTAATCCCAGCACTTTGGAAGGCCACAGTGGGAGGATTGCTT